AGATGTGTATAAGAGAACAAGACTACACCGGGAAAAGTGGCAGGAGTGTACAACGGTGCCATAATTATATTGCGATAGGATATGTTCCATATGGAATTGCAGTAGTTAACATCGTTACATTAAAAAGCATTTACTAAATTATTACTTAAATAGTACTAATATTATTATTACTATTGAATGTAATATTACTGTTATTAATGATAATGTTACTACCACTATTTTATTTTTTATGCCAGAAAAATTGTGTTACCTAAACCAAACTGACCCAAAATCTTGATAGTCTAGGAGGAGGGGGGTCTATGGGGGTAAAGTGTATATGCAATAATATTGGGGGTTTCAAGCGAAGCACAGGGTATTTGCATAATGATTTAAGAACGTATAGTTTTTTATCTTTATTAAGTTATATACCGTAATCTGTGGTTACCAATTTACCAGTTAAAAATACACGGAGTGGGTGGTAATTAGCCATGAACCCTACAATAGACCTTTCCAGATGACATGCTTGTCCAGCAAACACACGTGCTTATGCGTATTGGAAAGGTCAGTTAAGGCCAACTCAGACAGCGTCGTGCGACGCAGCCTGACGCAATTTATTGTCGCGTCGGTCTGCATGAGTTAAACGCAGACGCGATGGCCTGCATCGGGGGCAGTCGCGTCGTAGAATATTAAACATGTTTAATATTTCTCACGACGGCTAAAGACTGTCCCCGGCGATAAATCGGGTCGGGCTGCGTCGGCCAACGCTGTCTGAGTTGGCTTTTGGTTTACATTGAATTATAGCTCCATGGTCCATAGTACCAACACCAATTTGCTGATGGACTGATCCTATTAGTTGGCATAATGGCTGGCAACACAATATTTTTGTAGGCCTTGCTATTACTTTATTATTTCCAGTCAACAAATAATTTAAGAAAGATGTTTCTGATTGTATTGTTGTTTTCTGATTATTTTTTAATAATCACTGTTACTCTGTTAATTGTAAAATCGTACACCACCAGCTTGAACTTAATTTACGCTATGCCAATAATTGATTAAGAAAAACAAATAAATTTTAATACTGTAATGTTGATATTTAAATGTAGAGGATGATTCTTTACCGAGTTTAGTTTAATGTTATTTAGAATGTTATACACTATGGTACCCAATAATGGTACATACACGTCACGTCTGTTATTTCGGATGTAGTTATAAATTAGTGATTTGTATTTACTATATTATAAAATTGTCATCTCGGATAATTATTCTATTTACGTTACGTTAATGTTGTTAAATTTTATACTGGTGAAAGTTGAATAAAGGAATGTTAGGTAGTAAAGCATGTGTGGATATGTTTATGTATCGCTCGTTATTTATCTTCATTAATAGGTGTGAAGGTTTGATGGCATTGTTTCATAAGCAGTGGCGGGGGAAGGGGACATGTGTCCTAGATAATTTTCTTGCCTCTCCCCCCACAGTTTTACAGGAAAAATTAACAATGTAAGATTGGCCAACAGAATGAATTGCTTCAATCCGTCAAGGCCATTGACATGCATGCATTTAACCAATTTAACAAACTCTTTACATTTGTAAGAAATTACTGAGCACATAAATAAAAATACATAATAATACATTATTGTATCTTCGGTTTTCAGAGGGAAAACATATTCTTTCCCTCCCCCACCCCCTCCTAAAATATTACCTTTCCCCTCACTTACTCACTCAGATTTCTGACGCTGGCGCGCAGTCGTCATAATCATCTGGTCGAACTTGCTCGCTCTTCATCGACTCTTGGCAGACATCCACGACGATCATTCATTACTGCCTCTAGGTCCTCTGGAATAACATTAATAACAGTTATAATCTCATTGTTAATATATTGGTACACCATATTGGCACACCATGTGGTCTAGGTCCGTTTCCACCTGCCCCCATTGCTACCCAGCCTTTTGCCATCCGGCCCATAACTACCAGGCCATTTGCCACCCGGTGTTTAACATCAAATTTGTAAGCGTAATGCCAGATATTAATCGGGCATACTGTAAAAGTGAATTGTGATTCTGTCTAAAAACATCAAATAAATAGCAGAAGTTATACCAAGGACTAGAGACAAATTACCTTGATTGAAAAACCAACTAAAAATGAACTACGTGATTTCTACGAGCTGAACGTTTCTCGTCTTAATGTCGGATGCATCTAATTATTTTGTGAATATGTAATATCTCACGGACATCAGAATAAGCCGATTAAAATGATAGTAAAATTTCATGGTAAAATGTAGGATTAAATATACAATATTATTTTAACTAGGCCCAGCACAGTCTGTGTGTTTGTTGTGGATTTTGACTATTATGAAGTCAAAATGAAGTATTTGAAATCATTGCGAAAATGATTAATACGCGCTACGCAAGGGGATACACACTTCTCAGTTGAGGCGTTGCCCCCCCCCCCCCGGTTCGGGAATTTCAGTATGGATTTTCGTGGGGGATAAAAAAAAAATAATATTTTAAAACGTTTATATCAACTGTTGGCCTGAATTTGATAGGCATATATAAATTAAAATTGTGGACGCCGATGACATAAGTGGGCCTGGTCTGGCGTCGCTCAAAATCTTTCGAAAGTGTTCCAGGGGCTCAGCCCCAGAAAAACATGATGATTTAAGGATTTCAAAGGCTTTTTTCGCCTCGTGCTTGCTTGCCACTTACACCACAGTATTAGACTAGCCTTTATGATCACTGATTGACCTTTCACTTGCTTTTATTACAATTAGAATATCCCGTGTTTATGTTCAGAGGCAGTATCGGCAACGGCAATCTGGTCACTCAGTTTAATATTGCTTCTTCAGTGGGCGTTCGTGATGCAGAATTATACAATGAGATGTCTGTCTGTACTTTGGACTGCATTGATGACATCCCTAATTCAAACATCACATATTATTAACTGAGGAAGACTCGTGTTATAATCACAGGCCTATAATTGTATGCACTTTCGCGCGTTCACTGAAGCTACATAGGCCTGCTACAATCGCTGTCGCCACAAGTCTGTAGGTATGTATGGCCTGCATCACAATATTTTATTTATTTATTTATTTATTTATTTATATAGGCCCTATAACGTTTCCTGCATAAACTAAATGTTTTGCATCATTAAATATATTTTCACTTTCACTTGTATGAACAAATTGTCTTTGGCAGGATTTGAACCTGCAACCTCTCGCTGACACGTCAAGTATCATACCGTTAGACCACTATTCAATGTTGGCGTACTTTTAACCCCAAGGTAGATTTTCTCATACAACTGACTTCACGCTTACACATAATGGAGCCATGTATAAATAAGCTAGAAACAATAGCTTGTTGGTTGCAGCTGGAAATCCTAGTAAACAATATTTGTAATATTCGCAGCATTACCTAATTTATATATAAAATAGACCTGTCTCTTATACACATCTAGATGTGTATAAGAGATAACCTTATAACAGTTTGTGTTAATAGTGTTAAATATAGGCCTTCTTACAGAGTTCCGTGTTTTGGATCCTCATACTGCGGTATTCTACTATTGCTTCCATTTCCTTGTTAGTGTAGGGGTTTCTTGTAAAGTAGTGTTAATTTACGGTACTTCTTAAATCCTCTACTCTCCTGTTTGATGGGAGGTTCATCCGGTAATCTAGGTATCTACACTTTGAACTCCTGTGTGTAATCGGTGGGCTGTTAATTTAATATTGATTATACTGGTAAAATGTGCCTATGTTATATAATATGCTATATTTTCAATTTTCATGACCCAGAGTTTTCTGTTAAATAGATACTAGCTACACGTGGAACAATCAGCATTTATTGGTACACGTTTTAGATAGCTTAATTATTTTATGTTTTTTTTAAATTATGTATAGTACTGGAAATAATAGAACCCCATCGAATGATGTCATAAGGACAACTGAAGGGCATTAAGTATTAAAATCTATTTTAATGGTTTACCATGATTGTTGAAGTTCGATCTTGTATTAACTGCTAGGCTTAGGTATTTAAATTTCTTGATAACGATGTTTTAGATATCTGTAGCTGGTACCGGTTTACCGGGTACCAGGTAGACAGGAAGAGACTTAGCAGCAAGTTATTGTGCGAGCTAGTCCACACCTCAAGCGCTTTGATACTTTGGTATAAAACTATATTACAATGTATTTGAAGCATACGAGTCATAAGCTTCAAATACCGTTAACTTTACCCTTTATTTTTTTTTGTACGAACGCACCAATTGATATTGAGTGCCACCGATCCAAAGGTGTATGTTCAAATAAATAAATAAATATAAATAACCGTACATTAGTCACCTGACTTTCTACCACAAAAGTAGTATCATCTCTAAGTATAGCTCGTGACGTCATATTGGCAAATGGTGAGTGGATGGGTGTAATAGGTGAGTTGAGTCGTGCTGAATGAGACACACTGTACACACTTGCTGACTGCATTGTTAGAGTACTAATAACTAATTTATGACTTCATATAATTTGTCATGTCAACGCAAGAGAATCAAGGGTTACTAACAAAAGGAGACGCCATGGGTACAGATGCGGAGAAGCAGTACGGAGCAATAAGTAAAGAGAAAGATAAATTAGCAAACGGACATACAGACAGCACCCAGGTTGAATTTAGAGATGGCCAGGAAGGGTAAGCAAATGTAAAACATATGTATTATCACTTTATTTTATTTGGTTGTGAAGAGGATCGTCTTCCAATTTAAGGGGCTAAAGCTCGCATATTATTAGATTTTATTTTCTCTTTATTAAAAAGCCATATTAGAGGTCCGTGGGAGGGACTTTACACTGATGAAGGATTTACACCAGGCATAATTGGACTGACGTAGATGACCGAAACTGACACTTCCTAAGCTTGAATTTAAATGCAAACTTTCTTTTTCCCCATTTTTTCAAAAATGTAGGGTAGGTGGGGCGTGCTGACTTCCTTCCCGTCCTTCCCCCCACTCTGACTCCGCCTCTTTGCTTTGGGCTATAATGTGGGTTTTACCATAGCCTTGTAGTAGTGTCATTTTGTGAAAGTGGGTTTCTTGTCAACATTGACATATCAAAGTTCATATTGCCATAGCGGTTGTTTGTAGGACCGACCCGTGTCCATATTTGGCTTGTCATTACTACCGGAATGAAGCTCGTTATTCTGTATTTGCTCAATGTAACAATGTCGGACTCCGGAGCCATACGAAGTGTCATGATATGAACGTAATAATTTGCGTATATTTCATAGGGGCCAAGATGATCCACCTCAGAAAAGAACATCATTCTTTGAATTGGTGAGTATTTGTAGCTACTGATAACTATGATAATTAAATGATTATGATGATCATTAGTCTGATTAATGATAGCATCACCACTAAAAACGATTGCAGGTAAGAATGGCCCTGGAAAAATGGCCCAGGAAAAAATGGCCCAGGAAAAAATGGCCCCGGAAAAAATGGCCCCGGTAAAAATGGCCCCAAATGACAAATAGGTAAAAATGGCCCCAATGAAAAATTTCAGTAATAGAAATGATTTTTTTTTTAAATCTATTTAAATAATATTTAAATACTGTAATAAGCAAGAATTGAAACAATACAAAATACAGTTACACAACAGATGCAAATAATGTACTGAGAGATTACCAGAAAACAACGGCCATTGAACATTTTTTGATAGTTGAAATAAGTTTTAAAAACGTTATTCCACTACAAAGTAGAGGAATACATACAGTACTTCAACTACCAAAATATGCAACTCATAGATAACCACAAAATTTACTTTTGTTAAGTATCAAATGAAATATCTTCACTTGTTATAAACAGTGCAAATAAACAGTAGTTAATCAATCAATTAATCAATGTGGATCAATTGTGTGTTTGAATGACAAGTTCATGTATGGGAAAAGGGAGGCTTACTTTACTTCAACAAATGTTCTGCTTAGAGTTACTCTCTTTTTCTATAAAAAAAAAAAATAATAATAATTTGATGTTCATATAAACTCATTGTTTGTGGGGTTTACCAATTTACCCGGATTGAATTTCTGAAAAATTGTGATTCCGCTTCCTTGAAATTGGCCACAAATAAATTATTTTAGTATTAATAAATGCATGATTTATGTTGGTTTATTGATTATGTTGTTGCTATTTTTTATTTAAATTGAAAAAAAATGAAAAGTGTTATTCATGGCTTTTTTGTCTTTGAATATTTTATCATTGGATATGTAATTTCTGCAAAAAGTAAAATGTAAATGGCAATTTATTTGATGTTAGATTCCTTAAAAATAAATTATTTCAGTTTAAAAAAATGCATATAATGATTTTTAAAAAATCAGTTTTAATACGGAATTTTATTATTGGGGCCATTTTTACCTACCTGTCTTTTGGGGCCATTTTTACCGGGGCCATTTTTACCGGGGCCATTTTT